CTACGAAAACCAGCTCGGTAAGAACAGGACGGAGTCTGCATATATTTGTGGCATGATCTCTCCTTGCTAGACTGTGAGCTCCCTGAGGGCAGGGACCATCTTTTGCCATTTTTGTATCTCTAGCATTTAGCACAGTGCCTGGCACACAGCAGACACTTACTAAATGTTAACTGATTCCGTCAGATTACGGCCTGGTGGAAAAGATCAGAAATGGGGGCAGGGTGGTTGGGGGGCCGTGTGCGTGTCAAGAGAAACATACCGTCCAGGACTAGGCAGGCAATCACCCCACTGCCCCTTCTCCTGGACAGAGCCCGTGGACATGTCTGTGCTCAGCAATGGGCACCGTGCTTTCAGAAAGATGACAAGCTGGAGCACCCCCACGAGGATGCTCAGGTGACGGAGGGGCCTGGAGCCCGTGCCAAACGGGCCCCTACTGAAGAAAGTGAGGCTACTTAGCCAGGACTCTGGGGGAGGGGGAACAGACAGGATGGCCCTTCAAGTAACCGGAGAAACATTTGCTTTTATCCGAATCCCAGCTCCTCAGACGCCCTGCTCAAGGCCCTCAGGCCTAGTAGAACCCCAGATGTGCAGAGCTCCAAACTGCATGGAGCCAGCACCCACTGCAAGCCTCGGGCAAGGCAGGAGGGGTGGCTCTCATGCCACTCTGAAGGAGCTCTGTAGACAGGGCTCTCAAGCGTTTCCCCATCAGTTCTGGAGAGGGCCAAGGACCACTAGGCACCAAGCATTTTTCTTACAAGCGAATTCTCTCGGTGTACTTCAAGTGCCCATTCTGTTGCTGTGAGCACTCCCTTTCCCCACACATGGCCAGCTGACGAGGCCTAAGGATAACAGTGAGCTGCTATGGTTAAAAAACAGCCTCCAGCCAAACTTCTGCTTGTGAGTGTGGGGAGCTCTGGTCCACGACCTCTTTCCATCAGTGTAGACAGATGGCTTCCCTGGGTCTCCCTGACCCCAAGGCCAACGCTCCAGCCAGGAACGTCACAGCCTAATCCAAAAATAAAAGCACGCAAGCTTGGCTTAATAGTGTTTGCAAGGAAGGGAAGAGCCAGACTGTCACCTGCTACCCTCCCAGAGTTCAGTGCAGTCTAGGGCAGAGGAGAACGGCCTTGGGGGAGGGGAGCACAGGCTCTAGACAGCCGGGCCCAATCCAAGCCTCAGCTATCGGTGAATGAGGCTAAAATACTGATGAATGACTTAGAGACTGTCAGGGGTTTTTCAGCTAGCTCAGGACCAAGCTTTGCATGGAAGAAATGAAAACACCTCCATCACTCCTTTTTCTCATCTGCATAATGACTCAGAATACTTCCATAAACAAAAGCTCCAGCACGAACTTCATCCAGCATGAACTAAAAGGTGTTATTCCAACTCATGATGAACCCTGTTTTTTTTTTAAGCTAACTCCGGATTTTACTGAGAAAATACAAACCTATAGACCATCATATTCACTGCATTTCCCAATGCTCCATCCCTTCCTCCTTCCCCAGAGGGACATCCCTTATAATAAAGATTAAAAAAAAGGGGGAAAAACCAGTTCAGCAAATCAAGTCAATTCCAGACAGTGAACAAGTTTTACATTACAAGCAGTATTCCATACCTATAGTCCCCCAGCAAAGAATCCTCCCCACCCCCAAGATCTGACCCAAACACTCAATTTTCACCATCGCTCCACAATGCAGAAAACACATATTAGGGACCCTCCCTTTCGATAAGCCAATCTACTGAGTGAAGCAGCCACCTCCCATCACTCCTCAGCAGCATGTTCCACCCGCTCCAGTTCCCTGGTGAGGAGCCCTTCCTAAGCTCAGAATCATTGCACATAAACACAAACCATCCAGGACGACTGGATCAAAGTCAGCTACCTTGTGATCAGCATGTAAACACTGGGCTACCAGGACTCCCACCTTCCAGTTTACTCACTATAACTTCGGTCATCAGATCATTTTACTTCCCTCAGCATGACATTTAAACTCTACTCTGACAAACAGATTAAATTCTGCATGTGCTCTTTTTAGGGGGTATTGTTGTAAGTTTGAGTTAAACATCCAGTCACTTGCTCCCAACACCCAAGTGTGCAGCCCTATCTGTGGTGATAGAGGGGTCCTGACCCAGACCTGGCCAAAAGGGTCATCATCAGAAACTGACAGGATTTTTATCAGTGCCTCCTAAGGACCTCTTCCACAGATGCTCCCTGAGGGCAGGGGCTGTCATTTGTCTTAATTTGTATCCCTAGGGCTTAGGACAGTGCCACAAAGTAGGTGCAAAATAAATGCTTACTGACGGGCTTTTCTATTGCATTCCCCAGCGCTGAACACAACATTTTGCACACAGTAAGCCTAACAGCCTCTTCATTCACTGCACACGACGTACCTGAGGGATGGCCCCGTAGTTCCAGATATAACCTTTGTGGGGGAAGACGTTGGCAATGTAGCGGAGTTTTCCCTTTTTGACGTCTTGCTTAATCGGGTTTAGAGGATCCTTTGTCGAGATCTGAACAGACAGACCCATGGTACTGGCAGTTTTGCTGTGAGATGCTATTCAGACGGGGATCTGGACAGGGCTGGGGAAATAGGAATCCCTTGATTCAATCTCTTAAGTGTCTAGACTACAGGAATAAAATAAGTGACCAAATATGGTGTTTTTAAAATCACAACCAGCTTATTTATGTGGCAGGAGAAATAAGGGATGAACAAGAAAGAATTTCTGTTCCACAAGGCCCACCAGAAATCCATCTGACCTTTTAACCTTGGGATGAGGGTAATTAGGGAAAAGTCTGTGGAAAAGTATTCAATTCTGAATCAGAGCACTGGACTTGAAGTCAGGGTCTCCTGTTCACAACCAAATGTCTGAGTCTCTCTGTGCCTCAGTTTCCTTGCTGTAAAACATAGGGGTTAGACTGGGTGATCTTAGGGCTATGAGCCCAAGTTAGCAGTTGCGCTGGGCCTTTAAAGGGTAGGATTTGAACAGGCAGAGTAGAGGTGGGGGTGGGTGGTGGGTAGGAAGGAATGACTGACCACAAAAGCCAGGTGGGGGCAGGCAAGCCCATAGAGCAGCCTGGGAAATAATCATTCACGTGAGAGAACGTTTTAAGGGTTACAAAGAGCTTTCCTCACAACACCCTTGTAACATAGAGAGGGCAAGCATTTGTGACTACCATTTTACAGAGACTAGCTGCAAAGCCCACAGACCCCTTGGTCCTGCCAAGCCCAGGACCAGCACCCCCACACTGGCTTGTGTATACAAGTACACTCGGGGCAGGCAGGAAAGGATTGCTGAAGCCAGACGGAAACGCCAAAGGAAGTGGGATTTCACTGAGTCTAGCAATGCCTTTGCACAAAAATGCCATTGGCTGTCCTACCAAAGGAAAGCAATTACCTCCATCTTTGCATTGGTCCATCGAGGTACTTCCACAACCATGTGGAACACATTCTGAAAACAAAAACAAAAGGCAAAAGGTGAGGGGAGAGTTGCTCCTAAAAACCCACACAATGTGAGGAACCTACATCTCACCAGAGAGGTCAACTTCATTTTGTTGACCCAAAGCTAAGATGTTAGTTTCATTAATGAAGATTTTTTTTTCAATTATCAAGATTATTTTTCTCCCTCTCACCTCTCCTGAGGGGAACCCTTGTAGTGACAAATATGTATAATCAAGCAAAACAAATTCCCACACTGGAGGTGTTGGAAAATGTGTCTCATTCTCCAAGTGGAGTCCAGCCCTTTGAGGAGGTGGGGAGCCAGGAAGATGTGGGTTCAAGTTCTAACTGGCACATAATAATTAGCTGTGTGATCCTGGGCAAGTCAGCCTCACTTTTCTCATTTGTAAAATGAGGATCCTAATTGCACCTGCCTCCTAGGGTTGTTGCAAGGATCAAACAGAATAAACTACACACACAAGCCAACGTGCGTTTGTCAGGACTTGAACCCGCCTTCCTGACTCCACTGCCTCTCCAGGCAAGGGAACAGTGCCCAACAACAAAACCGTCAGCAGCTTCCAGCACGCAGACTTTGTCCTGTTCTACAAGGTTAAGAAGGAAGGGGGGAGGCTCAGTCAATGCATCAGCCTCTTTCTTTTTTAAAAAGGATGCTCAAAACAAAGACTACTTGGAAAAGGCATCGATAGACACAGAGCCAAGGCAGCTTGTGACTCGAGAACCACGGATCCCCACGGAATCATGCCCAGTGATCTGACTTCCTCCCAAGCACTATCACCAGTGGTAAGTGTCTCTCCGACCACCAAAGGAAGGAAGACACAAGGATGGCTTTGGCACATGGCATACAAACAAGAGGCAGCTAAGATAGAAGGAGACGGAGCTGCTCTGATACCTTCTTCTACCCATGCTCCTATCTAAGCAGCAGGCAAACTATCCGGGCCCTCATTAAGACCCCAATAATGTTTTTGCTGCTTCTTTAATGCTTCTGGTTTAAATCACCCCAAAATAAAGCTAAGCCAGACAGCTCAAAACTTCAAGTCCTGCTAAGTCAGACAAATGCATGGAACAGACTGCCTGGGAACACAGACTTAATCTGATATAAGAAGAGTACAAAAGAGTCCACTACTATTAGAATGACTTCACCCATCTAGGCACTTTCCCCCGGGTCATCCCCTGAGCCTTCGATGTTCTCCTTCCTTCCCTCTGCCTTTCAGAATCCCTGAGTCCCTTCCAGACCCAGCTCAAATGGCACCTTCTGCAGGAGTCCACCAGGGATCAGCGCTTTCCACCCACCTGGTGTATATCCTGTACATGCCTATTTCTGTACAAGTGGGCTTTCCAGTACAATGTTTTTGCAAGGACTGTCTTTTGTTTTTAATTTGTATCCTACTTAGTACAGAATCTAACACACAGTAAGCTGAATAAATGGTTAAAAATCATTGGTATTCTTTAAAACGGAGGTTCTTAACTTAAGGTTCCAGAATTTGTTCCCTAAATATTTTGCTATTATATTTCAACATAATTGATTTCCTTTACTCTTCTGTGTTATACATTTAAAAACATGATATGGGGGGGCGGGGGAGAAGATGGGTTATCCAGGGCACAGACATCAAACTTAAAGGAGCCTTGCCTACAAATGTCACTTGAAACCTTTTTAGAGGTGTGGGAAACCTCTGGCCCCTGGGCTTGGCTCACGTCTCAGCTTAATTTCAACCAGCTGACCATAAATCTCCTAAAATTCTCAGACAATCCAGTGGGTGTGCTCCAATAAAACAAATCTAAGAGATAACTGTTGAAGAGACCATACCGTCCTCTTAACCCTCTTCGGGAACAATATTCCCAAGGTCCACAAGATGGGAGAATTACTCCATGAAAGAGAAGTCTAGCGTCTGTGAGAGAACCACTGCAGAATAATGATCAGAACTGCAATCGAACCCTGCATTTGGTCAGAAAAGGGGAAAACAATCAAAGAAATCTATTACGCAGTCATTCAATTTTTGAAAAAATGAACATAAGACTAAACTGGGGAGGATCTGAAGAGAGTTAATTGATTAGAGGCCTAGAGAATTAGCTTATTTAGAAAGCCTAGGATAAAATAAATCACGGTACCGGAAAAACCACTACTCAAGCTAACCAGCAGAAGAAACTATTTTCAGGGAAGACACCTTCAAAAACTGAAACGATGGTAGGAGAGCAGTTCACAAAATACAACAAATTGGGTGAATGTTAGAAAATTTGGTGGGATAACAGCATGAGCCGTGTGCTTTGTAAGGATGACCAAGGTCAATTAAAAAGAGAGGAGGCAGAGGGTGAGGGAGGTGTGTGTGTGTGTGTGTGTGTGTGTGTGTGTGTGTGTGTGTGTGTGTGTGCTCATGCTTGCGAACAAGGACCCGTACCACTGACACATACAATGGGTCAGTGTCAATACTTGCCATTGTGTGAGGAGGCCAGGCTGCTTTGTTGGGAGCATGGGAATGTCTGTAATCATACTGCAATAGGATTGACTATACAAGGTAAGTGACCCAGACAATGGTGGCTTCTTCTAGGCACCACATCAGCACCGTGACTCAATGCCACTAGGTGGATGGTGACACAGGCCCAACACATAGACTTACTCAGAAAGGAACTGATGTCTGAGAACAGCCCTCTTATAACCTAGTCAGTATTTCTTCTATAAAAATTAACTACTGAAAATTGCAATACTGATCCAACTGGACTTACATACTAACATGAGGAAAAACTCTCGTCTGAAGCAAAATTTAAAAGGGGATTTGTGCCTTCCTTCTCTGATTGCACTGACTTTCAGCTACTGCTTAGTTCTAGCCTAGGTTTAGTCTCTTTTGATCATTAACCCCTTCTCCTCTGGCATCACAGTCCTCACTTTCTTATTGAAAATTTCAGAGAGAGGGGGCAGCTAGGTGGCGCAGTGGATAGAGCAGCGGCCCTGAAGTCAGGAGGACCTGAGTTCAAATCTGGTCTCAGACCAAACACTTGACACTAGCTGTGTGACCCTGGGCAAGTCACTTAACCCCAAATGCCTCAAAAAAAAAAAAGAAAAGAAAATTTCAGAGAGAAGCATTAATATTGTTGGAGGTGATTATTTTAGGCCAGCAAAGAAGATACCCTGATCATGGTTTCCCATTTTCTTGGGAGATTTCCAAGGTGCCAAACTGGTTGTAAGCAACGAGGGTCACTAAGGAAAAACAATTATTATTATTTTTTGGGTGAGGAGGGAGCCACTCATGCTGAGTCTCTCTTGTGCCCTCCATGACTCTGCTTCCAGTGTGGTTATGGTTACCTTGGTAACCAAATTACTAACACAGCACCCCCCTGATCACATCACCTTCTCCCAGTTTCTAAATCAGCCTTCATTCTAATGGGTCACTTACAATGAAGTAAGCTTACCATCCAGCTCCTTCTATAAAGCTCAGGGCAACCTGTGTCTGTCCTTCCTGCACCTAGGTTCTTAGAATAATGCCTGGCATGGAGAAAGGGCTTAACAAATTCCTTTTCATTCATTTAAATGAGATAATACCTATAAAGTACTTAGCATAGTCCATCCGTCCATCCATCCACTGATCCATCCACGTGTGTATTCCCTGAACCCCCATTCCCTCAGCTGTTCGAAACTCACCTCCCCAAACCCAACCTCCCACAACGTTTTCTCCTACAATTGCCCAACAGACTTACCCGACTTTGGGCATCACAGTTCTTCTTGTGTCTCAGCCCTTTTTTTGCTACCTGATCACGGGGACAAATTGAACCCTGGCACCCTTGGGTCCAGACCTGGCATCACCCCTAATAAAGGTGAGCTCAATCAATGGGCTTATGGACTGCAGACTTGAATCTGGGCAGGTGACTGCACTCAGGATACTACCGGACTCAAACACAGGTATCCAGGGAGCCCCACCTGCTCTCAATTTCTACTATCACTGGTCACTTTCAGAGTTAGATGTTTCCTTTGCAGGTAAGAGTAAAGATGCTCTGAGGTCTCTACAGGGTGCATGTCCACTAGCTACTAGTTTGGAGGAGTTTACTCTTGAGCTAGATCTGCAGAGGCTGTGAGAGGCCAGCCAAGTGTGTGAGGTAAGAAGCGCCCTGGGTTTGAATTGTTTCCTCTCCCTACTTCCTAGCTGTGTGATCTGGGGCCTGGTCACTCAGGCTCATAACTAAACATGGCGATGTTGGGAGTCAGAGGACATGAGGTCTGAGCCACCACCTGGGTGAGACTGGGTGGGCCACTTCCTTGCCCCGGGCCTCAGTTTGCTCTTTTGTAAAATGAGAGGCTTGGACCAGCTGTCTCTGAAGTCCTCTTCAGCTCTCTATATAGTATAAAACCCTTGCATTACAGGGCTGTTGGGATTATCAAATGAAATAATGTACAGAAAGAATCTGCAAACCCCAATGTACTCACAGAAAGGTCAGCCATTAATAGGAAAACAAAACAAGAGATTTCTTGAATAAATTGAGTAAAGGACACCTCATTAGTTCAACAAACCCCACACATCTGTTAAGAGCCAGTCCATCAGCACCACTCAACAGCATGAGTGCCATGATGGGGATGGCCCCTCCCCCTCTACTCCCATGTCTCCTATGCCCTCGCAGACCCCCAAGGTAGCCCTTCCCCTTGCCAAGGCAGATCCCTCTACTTGTACAAGTGATCCCACTCCATCCCATCTTCTCTACCATCCCCACTCTTCACTCATCTTCAACCTCTCTCGGTCTACTGGTTGTTTCCCTACTGCCTCAAACAAACCCAAGTCTCTTCTACCTCTAGAACACTCACTTGATCCATCCATCCCTGATAGCTAATGTCCCACCTCTCCTCCCTCTGGTGGCTACTGAAGGCTATCTACAACAGGTGCCTACTGGCCATCTGCAACCAGATGTCCTTTAAATGTCTTCACCATGTCCAAAACCAAACTCACAACCTTTCTCCCAAACCCTCCCACCTTCTTGGCTTTCCTATTATTGTCAAAGGTACCACCATCCTCCCACTCACCCAGGCTTACAACCTAGGTGTCACCTTAGACTCCACTCTCTTCACACCCTGCCCGCCACATCCAATCTGTTGTCGAGGCTTATCCATTTTGCCACATCTGTAGGATGTGCCTCCTCTCTCCTGACACGACCACCCCCCTGGAGTAGACTAGACCCCCATCACTTCACACCTGAACCATTTCAACAGCCACATGTCTCTTCCCACACGATCCCATCCTCCGCTCAGCTGACAAAGGGATCTTCCTCTAATTCAGGCCTGACACGTCACCCTGCTATTTACTAAGCTCCAGCGGCCTCCAGGATCAAATATAAAATCCTCTACCTGGCATTCAAAGCCCTTCATAAAACAGCTCCCAGCCAAATCTTTCTGGACTTGTTATGTACCCCACCCTCCTACCCCCATATACACTGTGATCCTGACCCTGGTTTCCTTGCACAAGACCCTGCATCTTTAGCCTCGGGGCGTTTTTACTGGTTGTCTTCTAGGCCTAGAATTTCCATCCCTCCCCGCCTTCTCTCACTCTCCCTCCCTCTCTCCTAAGCCTCTTGGCTTCCCTGGCTCCCTTCAGGCTCTACCGTAAGAAAATCAAATTGATATTGTCTATTTTTTGTAATTGACTCTCTTCTGTATCACCACCACCATTATGTATAACTGCCTCAGTCGTGCTTCTCTCTAAGTTCAGAAGTTCAGTCTTCTCTCAGCTAAGTTTAAAGGCCAGTTTCCCTATAAATCACTTTAATTAAAAGAAACGTGTTACCTTTACACCACTAGCTGCACGTGACCAATTAGAGAAAATCTGCTAAATATATACTATTAGTTATTCATGCAGGCAGACTAAACCAATGAGCATTTCCCAGCGACAACACGGAAGGAGGAACTGCTAGCCCCACATTCCCGATTTCCATCCAATCACATTGTTTTCCCCATCTATGATGCTGCCTTCTAGCTTTTAGATGCTCCTCCTTTTGTCTGTAAAAATGATCTTTCAGCCTTCACTCAGGGTCTCTTGGCTTGCTGGGGAGTGAAAGACCCCATTTATTCATAACCACTAGTTTTACCAATAAACTGCATGTGCTTGGAACTTTGTTGCCTCAGCTTACCTTAATGGCGATCGAGACAGTTGGCGAGCCAGCCAGGAAGCTGAAGAAGGGATCCCAACTCCTGGGACAACCTCTGGGGCATTCCCTAGAACACTCTTTTTCACTGAAGGACTTCTCCTGACTTCCCTTTTTGTAACAACTGTTCCAAGCCAAGGTAGAAGGCCCTGCACTACTAGAGAAATTGCAACATGTTTTATCTGTCTTGATGTCCTGGTTGTTTTTAGAGTGGCTGTCTGGCAATAACTGGCAAATAGAAAACTGGGAAATCCCCAAGAGAGAAGCCCCTCGGAGACATTTTTTTCATCCAAGGGAGACTAGAGCCTTGGCTCAGGCCAAGGAGTGATCAACACAAGTCTCAGGCCACTCACTGCCATTAGCAGGAAGGGAGATTAGGTCCTGGGCCTCCAGCTATAACTGGTGAGAAGGTAGAATGGCACCTCCCATTCAAAAGGGGTTAGAAAGCCCTCAAAAAGTCTGGAAACAGAGACTCATCTGAGTCAGAAGAGAATAACTGGAAATAGAGCGAGCAAAGATGAAGCTGAGGGTGTCTCTCTAGCTGACCCCCAGTCCTTACCCAAATTAGTCTAAAACATAAAGAAAAGTTCCAAATCTGGCCTGAAAAGGAACTTTTACTTGCGCACAATTTTTAAGTGTTCATGGGTCTGTCTTGTATTATCTGTTGCGAGTCAAACTAGCTTTTTCTTGGGGCCTGATCAGCCGAAGGAGAAAGAATAAAAACTTATTTCTCTAGAAAGCGTCTCTCTGCCTTTCTAAACTCTGGCTAAGTTAGAAGGCAGACAAGAGATAAAGAAAAGAGGGAATCTTTGTGCCCTACTCTGCAGGGATTTGTGGCATTTAAAGTGAATTCAGACTAAATTTGTGACTGAATTTCTAAATCGTGGTTTGAATGTTTTTATAAATGCTGAAATGTTTTGGTGAGTTTTGGGGTACCACTCTGTAGAACCTGTTTTAAGGAGGGGAAAAAAACCAAGATTAAAACTTTGTGAAAACTGCATGGGAATAGCACTTAAACGTTTTATCACTCTTTCTCTAGAAAGTGACAGATTTGTTGTTTTAGCACTACAGTAGGAAGGTGAATTCACTAGAAGTAAAAAAGGCTTGCATTTTGCAGTTCAAATTTTTCTGGTACTTAAGAACTGCCTATTTCTTTTTTTGTAAATAGTATTTCATTATTTCCAATTACATGTAAAGATAGCTTTCAACATTCATTTTTATAAGCTTTTGAGTTTCAAATTTTTTCTCTCCCTCCCATCTACCCTCCCCCAAGACCACCAGCAATCTGACATATAATATATGCGTGCAATCATGTAAACAAATTTCCAGATTACACATATTGTGAAAGAAGAAACAGAACAAAAGGGAAAAGCCACCAAAAAAGAAAGTGAAAACAGCATTCTTCAATCTGCATTCAGACTCCATAGTTCTTTCTCTAGAGGTGGACAGCATTTTCCATCACAAGTCTCTTAGATCATTGTATTGCTGAGAAGAGCCAGGTGTCAAAGTTGTTCATCATACAGTGTTGCTGTGTTCTCCTGAGAACTGCCTATTAACTCTTTCTCTGATCACAAAAAGTGAAAAGCTTGTTTAAATCAGAGAATAACTAAACAGTAAGTAAAATTTATTTTCTGGAAGAGTATTTTGTTATCACTGTGTTTTCTTCTGTGAATGACAGAACTTATTTGTTTAGGTAAACCAGAACCAAGATCACCAGAAAGAAAGTGGATAAGACCATTTGTTTATAAGCTCTTAAGAAAAACACAAAGGCAACAGTACTGCAAATCAATCTTGGTTGCACCAAGAAAAATTTTTGTGCCAATTTACAGAGAAGAAATTCAGTGGGGTGAAGATCAGTTCTATGGTAGTCTGGGATATGATTGAGAAGGAAATATTAAAGGAGTGTTGGATCAGAATATGAAGAAGACAGATGTAGTTTTGAAAGGACATACAGAGAAAGGAAGAGAAATTTTACCTAAGTAGGGTTTGAAAGTACAAGGAGTTTGGCATTTTGGGAAGAGATCCAAAATAGATTTGTGATCTACTAAGATAAGAAGGATATGAAAAATCTGAATTCAGACTAATTTCACCTGTCTGACCTTTCCTGCATCTACCCAACCCACTAGATATCAGGAAACTGCTTCAGGCTATGGGTGAGAAGGGAGGAGACAGGGAGAAGCAAGACATTTCTCAAAGGAAATAAATTACTAGATTTATACATTTGGTTCTGATTAAATTGGCAATTAGTAACAAAAAATTCTGAAGTCCTTCATTCATGAAGAAAAATCGCAAGAAATATTAACCGAGTTGGACCTCAATTAAGCATTCTGGGAACAAAGTTCTTCCAATAAGGCTACTCTGGGCAAAGAGACAGGAGCTTTGAGCTCCTGAGTGGTCACCTTCTCAGGTGGCCTGGGCCCATTTAGGCCCAAGGAAAGGAATTTGAACTTGAGAGCGTTTAGCTTGGATTTCAGGGACTCGGAAGAGTACAAAAGGTCTCCACAGAAGAACAAGAGCTCTTGTTACCAATCCCAAGCAGAGGAGAATCAGTGATTTTTAGTGAGCCTTCATTATCAGACTCTTGGGTTTAAGAAGTATTGCTAACAAGGGAAGTAAGTGCCCAGTGGCACAGAACTCATTAAAAACTCACTTGAATGGAATCCTTTGGGAGAGGCTGTACAGGCACTGTTCACAGAGAAGCCATCTTTAATTTTCTTTTTCGGCAATTGGGGTTAAGTGACTTGCCCGGGGTCACACAGCTAGTAAGTGTCAAGTGTTTGCTCTGAGGCCGGATTTGAACTCAGGTCCTCCTGACTTCAGGGACAGTGCTCTATTCACTGCGCCACCTAGCTGCCCCAGGGGAGCCATCTTTATATGGCTTTACCTCCCCTTTGATATTACCTCTGATTTATCCTGTAAATACATATCTATGTCTTGTATGTACACAGCTATTGCATGTGGCCCCTCTCATTAGAATGTGAGTTCCTGAGCCCCTAGAGGAGTGTCCCCATCATGGGGATTTATCTGAAAGTTCACTGCAGCCCTGGAATTCACACCAGGGAAGGTGGAGAACTCTCGCCCAGGCAAACCACCATCAGTTCTTAGCAAGCGACCCTCCTCAGGCCTTCATCATGCCCCTAGGCCTGGTACCTTTCTCCCTACCTTGTCCTGCTTTTCAGCTCCCTTCCATGCATTCCATGAGAATGTAAGCTCCTTCAGAACAGGGACTGTCTCTTGTTGTTTTTATTTGAATACCCAGAATTTAGCTCAGTGCTGGACCTATAGTACCAATAAAAAATGCTTGTTGGTCAAGGGAAGGGAATGTATTTTTAGGCTTTCTTTGTTTGTCCCCAGAGTTTAGCAGTGCCTGGCACAAAGCAGGTACTTAATAAATGTATACTGATTGATCTATGGAGAACAGAAGAATTCATGACCAAATAGGAGACAAAGAACATTATGAAAAGCAAAATGGATAACTTTGATTACATTAAATGGAAAAGTTTTTGCATAAAGCCAATGCAACTAAGATTAGAAAGAAGGTAGAAAATTGGGAAAGAATTGTTACAACCAGTCTCTCTGATAAAGGCCTCATTTCTAAAATATATAGAGAATTAAGACAAATTTATAAGAACACAAGCCATTCCCCTATTGATAAATGGTCAAAGGATATGAACAGACAGTTCTCAGACGAAGAAATTCAAGCCATCTATAGTCATATGAAAAAAATGCTCTAAATCGTTATTGATTAGAGAAACGCAAATCAAAACAACTCTGAGGTACCACATCACACCTATCAGATTGGCCAACATGACAAAACAAGAAAATGATAAATATTGGAAATGTGGGAAAATTGGAACGCTAATACATTGTTGGTGGAGTTGTGAAATGATCCAACCGTTTTGGAGAACAATTTGGAACTATGCCCAAAGGGCTACAAAAATGTGCATACCCTTTGATCCAGCAATAGCACTTCCAGGGCTATATCCCAAAGAGATCAAACAAATGGGAAAAGGACCCACATGTACAAAAATATTCATAGCAGCTCTTTTTGTGGTGGCAAAGAATTGGAAATTGAGAGGATGCCCATCAATTGGGGAATGGCTGAACAAGTTGTGGTATATGAATGTAATGGAATACTATTGTTCTATAAGAAATAAGGCTGACTTCAGAAAAACCTGGAAAGACTTATATGGTCTGATGCTGAGTGAAGTGAGCAGAACCAAGAGGACTTTGTACACAATAACAGCCACTTTGTGTGATGACTAATATTGTTAAACTGAACCCTTCTCAGCATTATGAAGATCTAAGACATCTCCAGAGGCCTCGGGATGGAAAATGCTGTCCACATCCAAAGAAAGAACTATGGAAGTCAAATCGCTATCACTTATTTTTACCTTCTGTTGAGTTTTGTTTCATCTTTCTGATGGTTCCTCCTATTGGTTTTAATTTTTACTTACACCTTCACTAATGTGAAAATGTTTAATGGGTATGTAAATGTAAAGCTTATATCAGATTGTGCGCTGTCTTGGGGAGGGTCGGGGGGAGGAAGGGGGAGAAAAATTTTCAACTCAAAAGCATATGGAGGCGATTGTTGATAAATCAAAATAAATTAATAAAAACTTAAAAAAAATAAATAAATGCATACTGATTATATAAATCCTTATTATTTCCACAGGCTATTTAGAACAGGTTTCTTAACATGGAGTCTATTGATAGGTTTTTAAATATTCTGATAACTGTATTTCAATGTTATTGAAAACCTATGTTTAAAGGAAATCAATATTGAATTGGTTTCCTTGGCAATCCTATGTATTTTTATTTCATGCATTACAAACATTTTAAAACCTATACGTACTAAGATGTTACAAATATTTGTGGTGGCAAAGAACGAGAAACTGCAGAGATGCCCGTCAGCTGGGGAATAGCTGAACAAGTTGTGGCATACGATCATGGTGGAATACTACTGCACTCTGAAGAAATGAGGAGCTCCATAATCTCAGAACTGCACCAAACAACAAGAACAAAATGAACAGAAGTACAAGAACACTGTATACCACAGCAGCAATGCTGTTTGAAGAACAACTGGGCCAAATAAGTCATTTTGACCATCCTAAATCCCCAAATGAACTACAAAGCTCTATGAAGGAAGATGCTGTCTGCATCCAGAGAGAGAACTGATAGAACACAAGCATGTACAGAATGATTTTACACGCGTGTGTGCGCATATACATGCACACATATTTGTGTCTAATGGCAGCCATCTCTAGGGTGGGGAAGGGAAAAAATTGACATGATAATTTTATTATATATATATTTCAAAGGCGTAGCAAGTTGTACATAATAAATTTGCAGTTTCATGTGCAATCATCTTTTTAAAAATTATACTATGGTATGGAAATACTTGTTTTATTCCATAAATTAAAAATAAATTACAAAAGACATTCTAGGAAAGGATCGGTAGGCTTGGGGTGAGGGGGGCTCCAAGATACTAAAAAGGTTTAGAACCCCTACTTTAATTGGCCAAAAACACATGCATGAAGTATCTAACTATGCCAGATGCTGCACTAAGAGCTGGGGATACAAGGAAAGGCCAAACCCAGTGCCTGCCCTCCAGGAGCTCCCAGTCTAATGGGGAGACGACATGCAAGCAATTCTGAACAGACAGACTATATGGCATGGTGTAGAGGCCATGAGGTGCACAGTGAGGGAGACTTCAGTTCACATTCTGGGCCTGATACTGGGTGTGTAAGCATGGGCAAATGGCTTCATGTTGGTAAGATAAGGATGCCAGCTCCTCCAGAGCCCAACGTCACAAGGCTCAAGTGAGAAAATCTATGTCAGGCACTAGGAAACGTCAGTGCTACAGGAATGGCCAGCTCTTAGGACCAATTCTGCTCTACAGTGCACTGTAACAACAGCTCGTTTTCAGGACGTTCCTTCCTCCCCCTTTACAGAACACCAAGGGCAAAGAGCCCATCAGTCTCTGGGATGCTCTGGTCTGGGTGGGGGAGAGGAGGACTGGAGCACTGGTGAGTTTAATGTGCCACATTAGAGCGAACATAACTATGTAAAGATAAGAAAGTGAAGCCAAACAGGGCAAGGCGCAGTCAAATGAGCAAGTTCTGAACGATCTGCTTCCTAATCCGGAGACAGAGTTCGGCTTCTGTCTTCTTGGTTACAAGGTAGGGTTTGAGGTGGGGTTAATATTGGGAGATTATGTAAGATAAAAAAGGTATAAAGAACAGGTATTAATCAAGGGGTAGGGGAAAGCCCAGAACCAGAAAGATTAATTTCCTTTTTAAAAGAACTTCCTGCTTCTCAGAAATCATCTGATGGACTGAGCTTTAATGAAACTCTCTGTTTCCCAGAAAATTCCCAAGTCATTCTGAAGCCTGCTGGTTTAAGCTCATGCCACTACCTCAGCCCACACTTGATATAAGACCCTTGCTCTTCACCTGGGTCATCTCCAATAACGGACAGGCTATAACCTCCTCCTCTGTGGAAGCTCAAAGAGGCAGCATGCCCAGGACATCACAGCTAAATCTCCAGTCTGAGTGTGGGAAGGTCAGCAGGTCCATATGGTGCTAGCCTCAGGGGCTCCTGCTGATTACCGATCCCTCATAAATGAGACACTCCACAGGACTGAGAGGAGGTCCAACTCCTTTGTTTGAGGAAAATTCAGCCCAACAAGGTTAAGTTTACAGGATGACAGATGTAGAGCTGGAAGGGCCAGTTTACAACTAAGGAAACTGAGGCTGAGAGAAGGTAAGTGACTTGCCCAGGGTGACACAGTTAGGATCTCAAGCAGGACTTGATCTCAGCCTTCCTGAAGCCAAGCCCACTACTCTATCCACTGTGCTACCTCGCTGCCTGAGACCACACAAATAAAAAATAACCCAACCATAATCTGAACCAAAGTCCTCTGACTCCAAATCTAACAAAGCACATGCTTTCAAAAATGATGACATTTCAGAGAAGACAACAGTGTCCATGGGCTCCTCAACAGTCTGATGAAACAATCAGACCTTCAGGAGAAACACCACCTGGAACTTTCCAAAGAGGAGCCGGACCAATCAGAGGCTGGCCCGGCCCAGCCTGTTCTCAAGTAACAGGTAACTGAGTAAATGCTGAAGCCAGTAGCTCCAAACTGGAGCAAAGCTTCCTGGAAGAACAGACAGTCTATCTGCATGTGCCAATCTGATTACAGGCCTAGAATGAGGCCTCATGCCCTCCAGAACAAAGCTGTCCTACAATTCTGGGCTTGACCATTGTCTTCCCAAAGACAGGTCAATGCCAAACTCCCGCCTAAAGATGGCTCTGTGAGTGTCTACCAGGGGCTCCCCTCCCCCCATACAAGAGTTCTGGTGAGCATTCACCTCTCCTGAGGAGCCAGCAGAAGTCTACTACTAAACATTAGTGACCATGAGGCTGTATTTCACAGCAAGAGTGAAACAGAGGAACTGAAAAGAACAGGCTAGAGCCAGACGGGGCCAAAGGTACCAAGTCTGGAGCCAGAGCACACGGGCTAACATCCTGCCTCTCGAGTTTATTCCCGCATGAGCATGGGCAAGTCACTTCACTTCCCTGGACCTCAGTTTCCTCATCTGTAAAAGGAGGGGGTCGGACTAGGTGGTCTCAGAGGTCCCTCCCAGCTCTGGAGATGAGGATTAAGGAAAATGTCAAGTTGTTAAAAGTTAACGAAGACACGAGGCAGGGTGTACAGAAAAGGGGACAAGGGAGAAGTCCCCTTAAACTGCTCCTTGTCTATTAGGAGGCCCCCAGATCCATGGGCCACAGGGGAATGAGAAACCCAAAACAGCTGCTCAAGTTTTTAATCCATCCTGCAACTCAGAAGTAATAAGCCTCCAGAGGAAAAGGCACACTCTCCCGAGGACTGACAAGGATGGTGCTGGGGCCTGCTGTGACCAAACACCGGCTTACAAAACCCTGGTCAGGCCCCCACGCAAAGGAAACTCAGCCCCTGGAGAGACTGAAGGCTGGAGGCAAAACATTCTGGCAAAGGCTTGAGTGGTATCATTCCAGATCAGAAAGTTTATGTGAGTACACAACTTCAAAATAAATAAGCCAATGCAGGTCTGAGGACCTACATCCTGTTTGTTTGAATTAAAACAAAACTCAACAGGGACCAGGAACCCAAACACTCTCCTGACATCACTTTAATAACAACCCTGCTTCCCACTATGCTCCCCTTCCCCAAGCAGAAATGGAACTGCTGAAGCCTCTAGAAGGCGGTGGCTCACTTTCCTGGTGGGAA